CTGGGAGACAGTGGAGGACAGAGGAGCCTGGCGTGCTGCGTCCACGGGGTTGCAAAGAGCCGGCACGACTTAAGAGACTGAACAACAAACAGCACAGGGAAGGGCAGGCAGGTGGAGCGCGCTGCGGTCCCCAAACCCACGTCCCTCCTGTGTGGGGGCTGATCCTACTGCCACTGCCCCTACTGGTCTCTTGGAACACCAGGCAAGGGTCCGTCTGTGCTCACTTCTGGTACTCAGGCACACAGTACCACTGGAGGGGTGAGGAGCAGCGGGGAGGGTCTGGGATCAAGGGACCTCAGCCCTTTCCTTCTGCCCTCTTCTTCTTTGGGTCAGAGAAGCAAGTTTTGAAAGGATGCTAAGGGGGACCTGACTGGCCAGTGAAGGAGCCTGTCACCCCTGACCTCCCTGGAAGAGCCCTGACCCACCTCCCTGTGCTATATAACTCATGGGGCTCACTGTCGGCATCATCACCATTCACTGGTCATCTAATGGGCTCTGTCATTAACCAACTGGGTGCTCTGGAGCAAGTCACTTCCCCTGTCTGAGTCACGGTTCCTTCCCCTTTAAAGTGATGAGGTTGGGACTTCCCAGATGGTCCAGTGGTTAAAACTCCCTCCTTCCACTGGGGGCACAGGTTTGATTCCTGGTAAGGGAACTAAGATCCCACATATTGCCTGGGTCTTGACCAAAAAAAAAAAATGGTGATGAGGCTGAGGAGAGACAGAAAGAAAAGACTGAGGATAAAACACTTGTGTGGGTGCCTTCCAGCTCCTATTACAGGAACAATCCCCAACTATTTGCTCTCCTATCTCTTTTGAACATCACATGGGCCCTGCAAAGTAAGAACAGTTGGATTAATGAAGGACACTGCTCATGGAAGACAAGACATGCCCAGGATCACACAGCTGGCAAAGTGGCCAAGTGAAAAACAAACTCTGGTATGTTAGGTCCCCCATCTCGTGGCCTCTGGGACACTGGCATCCTGGGGAGGATCCAGAGGGTCAGGGACAGGCTGTCATTAGGCACTTGAAAGTGTCGTTTATATCTGCCTCCACCCTCTGGGAGCTGGGAGATGATGGACACCCGGGCAAAATCAGGGGGCTGAGAGGGGAGATGAAAACTCTGGACAGATGCTGAGTGCTCCAACCACTCAGACTGGCATCAAGCCACAGAAACAGATGGACCTGGGTTCAAATCCCAGCTGCTCTACTTACTGTCTGTGTGACCTCAGGCAAGTGACTTCACCTCTCTGAGCCTGCTTTATAAAGTGAGGCTAAAAATGCCCACTCCTAAGGCTGATTGGGTGGATTCAGTAAGTTCATGCTTGATACATAGAAGATGCTTCAGAAGTGGTGGTTATTATTACTGGGGCTCTGTTCAGCTGGACTGTGGAAATACTCATTCAACTCTTTCCTCAAGAAAGCATCCTAAGGCATCCTCTTTGGCTGAGAAATCTTCTCACCAGTCCACTGCACTGATTAACATATTTCTCACAGCTCGGGAAATATCCAGACATTTCTGTCCGCATCTTCCAAAGTCAGGCCCAGACAGGGGACGTGACTCACTCCAGGGCTCCAGATCCTCCAAGTCTCTGGAGGACTAAGGAGAGGAAATTACCACTGGCCCAGGCACCTGGGATGGAGTCAAGACAAGGTGTTGGATGTGGGCAGTGTCGGCAGCCTGGGGGATGAGGATGGAGGTTTGAGGATGTGCTGGGGGGAGGCAGGCCACAGTTAGTGGCAGAAGGATGTGCTGGGGTGGGGGAGGCAGGCCACAGTCAGCGGGAGAAGGATGTACTGGGGAGGGGGCGGAGGCAGGCCACAGTCAGCAGCAGAAGGATGCGCTGGCAGGGGAGGCAGACCATAGCCAGCAGCAGAAGGCAGTGCAGCGCAGGGTCGTCCTGGCCTCAGGCACACCAGGCTGGAGTCTGCCCGTCCTTCCCTACACAGAAGCCAGAGCAGACCCTTGAAAGTGTCAGGCACATCACACGTGGCTCCCCATCTCACGCCAAATAAAAAGCTCAAGGGGCGGTTTTGTTGTTGCTATTTAGCTGCTCAGTCATGTCCAGCTCTCTTGTGATCCCATGGACTGCAATCCACCAGGCTCCTCTGTCCATGGGATTTCCCAGGCAAGAATACTGGAGTGGGATCTTCCCGACCAAGAGATCGAACCCAGGTCTCCTGCATTGGCAGGCAGATTCTTTGCCGCTGAGTCCCCAGGGAAGGAGTAGTGGTTTAGCCCCTCCAACGCTCAGCTTCTCTCCTCCATTCACTGCAATGAGCCCACGGGCCCTCCGTATTTCCCTGACAGGCTTCCAGGCCTTAGCACTCTGCTCCCTCTGTCTGGAATGCTCTTACCCTCGGTGTCTGCATGGGACTCCTCCTCCAGAGACCTCCCCTTCCCTCTCTATCTAAAATATCAGCTCCATCACCTCTATCTCCTCACCCTGTTTTCTTTTTCCTTATGTTTTACCACTACCTGAAATAGTTTATATTTATTCAGTTTACTGTATCTTCCCCCAAGGGACCATAAGCTCCGTGAGGCAGGGACTCTGCTCAGCTAACTACGGTGTCTCCAGACCCTGACACAGCATCTGGCTCACAGTCAACAATATGTATTTATCAGATGAATGAATGGTTGATTCAATGTATTGACTAAATACTGGTGCCACTATTTTCTAGCTTGGATTGCTTTGGGCAGGTCATTTCATTTCTCTGAAACTTCCAATGCAAAAGATAGGACATGTTCAACTCACAGGGTTATGGCTTCAACGAAATAAAATAGTAGAGGCTGAAAGGAACTGACACATAATAGGTGCCCAATAAATGACCACCACAGTCTCCATTATTATCATCAAGGATCTCAGATTCCTCACTTGCTCACGGAGGCCTTGGGCATGTCAAGAGTTCTCTCTGAGTCCCAGTCTGGTCATCGGTCCAACGGTCCCACACAAGGGATATTTGCTGGATGCCAGGGAGGAGGACACGAAGCACCCAGCAGGGGGTCTCACATCCAGTAAGCACTCACCAAGTAGCAGGTACTGCAATCGAAGAGCATCTAGGGTTTCGATACCCACCCCACCACTTATTCTGTGACCTTGGGAAAGCAGCTGAACTTTTCTAAGTCTCCCCATACCATGAGGATAATGATAGTCCCTTCCTCACAAATCATCCTGAAGTCACAATGAGATATGGCCACTGAAAGGGCTTCACAAAGCCCTCAAGAAGATGTACTGTGAAGGGCAGGAAGGCAAGGGCCCAGGGATGAAGACAGAACCAAGAGTGGTGAGGGTCTGCGGAAGAAACACCAGGTCCCCTCCCGACCTGGGCCACCTGACCCTCCCCACCACCGAAAGGAGAGTGGGGCCCACCAGTGCCCTGTTCAGTCTGTGCCTGGCAAAACCCGGGGGTCAACTCCCCAAATGACTCAATCAATAAGCCTTACTGCAAATTCATGATTTTTTTTTTTTGGATCTGTTTTGATGAATTCTCAGTAACTAAGAGTGGCTGGCACTTAGTAAGTGTTTAATAAATATATGTTGAATCAGTGATTCAATTAATTAATCAATGCATGAAGCAATAAATCATTGCTGTCAAGAGAATTACTGTAAGTGAAGTTCCCAGCAGGCTGTGACTTTTTGTTTATGTTTTTTGATAAATCCCCAGGGCCTTGAAAAAAGACCCTGATGCTGGCGAAGACTGAGGGCAGGAGGAGAAGGGGTGACAGAGGATGAGATGGTTGAATGGCATCACCAACTCAATGGTCATGAGTTTGAGCAAACTCCGGGAAACAGGGAAGAACAGGGAAGTCTGGCGTGCTGCAGTCCGCAGGGTTGCAAAGAGTCCAACAGGACTCAGTAGGGCCGCGAATACCTGTGGGACATGACTGTGGTGAGAGCACACGCATGTGAACGTGTGACCGAGTCGGCCACTAAGTCACGGCTCACTAGAATTTAATCTTTCTGGAAGCAAGGGTTACCGCCTGCTTTGATTAAGGCTGCATCCTCAGTGCTTAGACCAGTGCCTGGAGCATAGCCCGTGTGGAATGAATGAATGATAAATGAAATGAATGAGCAAGGCCCCAGCTCTCGGCCCAAGGACCTCAGACCAAGAAGAACGAGACATAGAGGGGCACCTGAGCCCTGCCCCCGGCCACCACTCGCCTCGTGGTTTTTTAAATAATTTGTCAATTGTTTTTAATTGTTGAGGCAGTAATACTTGGTTCATGAAACTGCAATATACAGAGAGGTGAAATAAATAGCTTATATATATATAATATATATAATATAGCTGGTTTTAAAATATTCCCTTATTCATTGGTGTACTAGGTCACGTGAGTCACGGAAGGTCGATAGCAGCATCCTCCAGAACTGTGAGTAATGCAGGGTCACCGTGATTGGACGAGGCCGTCTGTCGTCGAGAGTCGAGGCGCCGAGAATTCTGAGGGGCACGCCTTCCCTGCGCGGTGTCTCAGGGCAGCTTGCAGCGGACAATAAATAAATGACTGCAAACCAGAGAGCGATTTTTGTTGGACTCTGGGGCAGGGACAGGGGACTGGGAAAGAGGGGGGGAGTTGGCTGGGTGGGGGAAACACTACTTTCTCTTTTTCTTTTTTGTTTTTGCTTTTTTTTTCTGTCTTTTTTTTTTTTTTTTGCTTTAAGAACCTTTGGGAAAAAGGACTTTGGTTTCTCCGAGTGTCGCTTTCCTCACTCCAGCCCTCCTCTGGGCCGAGTTCCGAGCTGTCTGTTCCTAGAGACACAAGCACCTGTGTGTTGACAACAGTCCCTTGGTGTGAGTCTTTTGTCATAGGGGTTTCAAGTCAACAATAAAATCCTTATCGCTCCCCTCCCCCAAGAATTTTGGTTCAGTTTTGTCTTCTCTTAAACGCATGTACAAAAATAGAAATTCTTCCTTATTTTTCATGTAAAAATATTCCTCTGATTGCAGTTCTCCGTGAGTGTGAGTGTGGGTGGGGCGGCCCAGGGGCATGGCGGCGCCCACCTAGCCGGGGTGCGTGGGGCGGATCCGCCGGGACCGCTTGGTCACGGTGGTGTACTTGAAGGGCTTCTGCAGCTCGGCCTGTCCCTTGGGGTAGCGCTTCATGAAGTGCACATCCTGCTGGTTCTCGCGGGTCTTGGGGCCCTTCCGCGGCCGCCCCTTCTTGGTGAAGCCCACGTACCAGCCAGAGTACTTGGCCGACATCAGGGCCGTGTAGTTGTTCTCCAGGACCTTCTCAATGAACACACACTCTTTGCTGGTGCCGTCAGGCTGCAGGAAGAGAGGAGGAGGTGAGAGAGGAAGGGCAGGTGCAGGGGGCAGAGCTGTGCAGAGAAGGCAGCGGCAGGGGCCAAGGCTTGAGATGGCAAAGTAGAAAGGGCCTGACCCCAAGCTTTGGCCTCAGCAGTTCCACTCCCTGGACCCCTAGAGTGGACTTGACGTAGCGGCCTCTGCATCCTTCCCTGCTCACCAATTAGGTGCCAGCTTCCCATTACCATTCAGGGATCCCTTTCTTTTCCACTCCCACGATGGAACCAGGGGCTTCTACTAGAACAAAATATTCAGATCTGACCAATTAAAATATTATTTCCTGTGACTGGCGCAGAGCACAGCACATGGCCTGAGTCATCCAGTCAGCAGTCCTCAAGATCCTGTTATAAATAATCCCCCCAAACATAGGCCAGTTTAAACTTGGGAAACAGGTAAGGCTGAAACAAAGGCAGCCTCTGTACCCCCATGAGGGGAAATGTTGCCTGACAACAAGGTCAGCTTGGAGGAAGAAAGCCAAGAGGAAGAGAATGAAAGAAACCAAGTCCTCCTCACATCTTTCCATTTCTGGACCTACCAAGCTATATCTGAAGTTCAAGTTACCTCACTGTTATGTGGGCCAATAATATCTCATTTCCTTTAGAACAGCTGAGACTGTGTTCTATCACATGCAACATAAAGAAGCCCCAACTCATGTGCACTAAACCTGAGACCAAGTTAACTGCCTACTCAACTGCCATTAAACTCCACTGTTACAGAGTTAAACATAAGTTACATTTAATGTGGGGTGTGGTACATCTTAATGTTTGTTGTGAAGAGGGGTGGAAGCCTCTAAAAATAAGAGCTTTGGCATGACCAAACTTCAAAGCCTATACCCATGGTTCTAAGATTTTAGGGTCCCAGGTGAACTCCCTGGGAGACTATGCCAGGCAAGGAGCACGAGATTCATAGTCAGACGTTGAATCAACTCACACTTCCTTATGTGACCTCAGGCTAGTTAATTTCATTCTCTAAACTTTGGATTCCTTGTCTGGACCAAACACGGAAAATGACTCCTACATCATAGAGATGTTATGAGGAATGATGCTTATAAATGAGCCAGGCACACAGTAGGAACTTGTTACATTATTTCTGAAGAGCAGGTGGTTCGGAAGGTCTGACCTCCCTCCTTGGATCTGAACAAAAGGAGGTGGAAAGCAGGCTTTGAATCTCCTCCTTGAAAAAGCCAAATTGCTCGGAGTGGAAGAGTGAGAAACACACAAAGTTGGAAGGCCAGAATTAGCAGCACTCGAGTTTCCAACTAACATCTCCAAATTTAGGCCGGGCCCACTCCTCGTTACAGACGGGTGCCCGGCCAAGTTGGAAGCCCAGCGGTCTGGCTGTGTGTGGAGACTGAGGTACAAGTTCCAGCCTTTTGTTTGAAGTGGAAAACAGGCTGGAGCTTCCAGGAACGTTCACCTTTGAGCGGAGGGCAAGCTTGGGCCCTGCAGACAAAGTGCTGAACTTTGCAGAAAAGGACAGGCAGGGTAAGAAAACATTCTCTGGAGGAGAGATCTTTCGAGGAGGCTGCAGAGTATACAGGGGGTGGGCCTGGGAGAAGCACACAGGACCCAGAGGACATTATGGGTTGAGTGAGCAGAGAGGGCCTATTGTGAGGAAGCCGGGGCATATGTGCAAGGGGGATAAAAAGGAGTGGGCTCTGGCCTCCCCATGGATAATTCTGGAAGCTGCCTATCCAACCTGAGTCCAGGTCCCTTGGATGGTTTTGATGGAACAGTCAGAGAAAACTGAATAAAGGCTATACTATGTCTGGTTCCCCATCTTAGAATATCTGCTTTCAACCTTGAAGAGCCAGTTCAGTAACCACCTCCTCCAGGAAGCCTTCCCTGACTGCCATCTAGCTCTCTGGGTATTTCCTCCTCTTCCTTCAAGACTCCATTTGAGCACTGTGTGTGTTAGTTGCTCAGCTGTGTCCAACTCTTTGCGACCCCATGGACTGTAGCCTGCCAGGCTCCTCTGTCCATGGGATTTTCCAGGCAAGAATACTGGAGTGGGTTGCCATTCCTTTCTCCCATTTAGCAGTATGCTTTATTCAACTCGCATACTCCATCTTCTGAATCCCCTCCACACCCACTCCTTCTCCTGCCTGCCCAACAGAGTAGTTCTGTATCTGTCTGCTCCTCATCAGCCCAGGAGCTACAGAGGTCAGGACTGCTTCTCGGTTGCTCTCACAGCTTCGGCACAGGTCTTAGCCCAAAACAGGGGCACCCAGAGAATTTGTGGTTAAATGGATGAGAGTTCTGCTGGGACACAGATGGTGGGGGTGCCACATTAATTGGTTTTCCTCCAAAAAAAAAAAAAAATGGACTCTGCCTCCTGGATCCCTTACTAATGTCCCAGAGACAGACGTGAGTTGTGAGAGGCCCCTCCTGGGGGATGTGATGAGAAGAGTGAGGGCCCGAGCTCTCAGCCTGCCCACCTTGGTGTCCCTACCCATCCATTCACTCATTCATTCAGCATTTGCTGATTGCCAACTAGAGGCCAGATATTTCCACAGCCACTGTCTCATTTAATTCTCTTAACTTGCCAAGGTAGACTCTACCTGGTAGAAGAAAACAGTTCAAAGACACAAAAATGGCTTTCCCAAGGTCATGGAGCTGTTAAGTGGCAAAGCCAGGATTTGAACCTGCACTTGCCACTGCAGCTCACCTCTCTGCTGTCTAATCCCAGACAGGCCCATGGGGAGGAAGGGTATGGAAGAGTGGGTGCTGCCCATCAACACACCTCAGGTCCCCCAGAACCACAGAGCTACCATGCTCATGAAGCAGTGATTTGGAGGTTCAAGGGCCAGCACAGTGCCTGGCACATATGCTCTTGCCTGGGTTGAGGATCTGGGCTTCAGGCTGAGGTTCTGACACTCCAGAGGTCAGGAGCCCTTGGGAGGAGCCATAGGGCCTATAACGGTCACGAGTTCCCACCTGAACTCAGACTCAGTAGATAAGAAGCTAATAGTAGGCCACCCTGGGGCCTGACCCTTGCCTTTCTCCTCACCACCTCTATGACCCTGCTTATGGCCTGCAGAGATTTTTAAAAAACACATGTGCATGGGCCTCACCCCCCAAATTGCTGACTCAATTGGTTCAGGCAAGGCAGATCCACCAATATTTAAAGAGTAACGGAACAGCCCATCCCAGGACCTTGGTGATTTAGTAGAATTTGATCATCTCTGGAAATCTACCACCTCCAACCTCCTTCTTTCCAAACTGGAGTCCTATTCCTTCTGTTTGGTCTGAAGACTGAATCCTGATGACATCACTTGGCCCCTGAATTTAGTTTTCCTTGAAATCAGGACTACCCCCTGGATGTTTTTAGTTACCTAGACAAAAAAAAAAAAAAAAAGTCTTTTTTTTTTTGCTTAAAGGCATTTTGAATTAGGTTTCAGTCACATTCAACCAAAGCAGTCTTCACAAACGTGCAGTGGGTAAGGGACCCCCTGCTCTGAATGGGTCTGGGTCCCCCCAAATGGGGACATACCAATGATCACACAGGAGGAGACAGATGAGAAAAATCCACCTGGGTTGAATCTCCAGAGATGGCGAACAACTACTTAGCACACAGCGCTTGACATTCAACAACTCTTTTATGGATTGAAAGGAAGTACTATCTCCTAGGTCAGGTGGAGGTGCGGTCCAGAGAGGTGGCAAGGAGAAGGGGGCTACTTCTCTCTCAGGGGCTGGGGAGAAGAGCTCTGGCGTAGGATCAGTATGACGCAGCAGAGAGAGAAGCAAGGCCAAGGTTCTGGAGCATCGGCAGAGGCTCTCTTGGGGGTTCAGTGATGTGTCCGGCTGTGGCCAGATACGTATAAAATTGACACCCAAGGTCAAGACCATCCAAGCAAGCTATCCTGTTGAGCCAAAGGAGCCAGAGCCTGAGTTGAGGTCAGGGGTTCCCACAGGTGAAGAACCTGACTTTCAAGGGGAATGTAGCTCATGTTTAACAAGTAAGTGCCTACTCAGTGTCAGGATTATCTTCCCATTTTACAAGTGAGGACACTGAGGCTCAATGAGGTCAAAGCACTTAGATTCCAGGTCTGACGTGGCTAATTCTGGCTGTAGGTTGAGTCAATTCTCAAAAGGTAAGCACCACATTTCTATTTCTCTGGTATCCTTTGAGCAGGTATAAGAAGCATGATGGATGGATCCAGAATTGGCCCTCAGAGCCGCTAGCCTGGTGGGGGATGCAAGCACAGAAACAGCCAGCCAACCCAGGTGAGCAGACTGCAGAGAGAGGGATGTGTGAGTAGCCGTGGGCTCCAGGTGGGTGTGCTGACTGGGCGGTCAGTGGAGCCAGAGATCATGAAAGGATGAGCCAAGACTCAGGGTGGATGGGCGAGGGAAAGGCTGTCCTGGCAGAGGGAACCACCTGCACACAGCCTGATGCCCCATCCCAGCAAGGAGTGGGGGCTGGCTGGGCCATGTGTCTGTGACATAAGGAGCTCAAGGGTGGGCAGGCTCTCCCCAAGGAGGGCAGCCTTTCTTGGGTAGAAGGTGAGGCCCTGAGGACTGGTTCTGGCTGAGCTGCGGGTGGAGAGGAGGGGCGAGCTTTAGAAAGCTCTGCTTTAGAAAGCTGAGCGTGGGCAGCGGGGAAAGGCCCGGAGGTGGAGCCCGAGGCAGAGGAGGAACACTATTCCGGAGAAGGGGTGCGGCAGGACAGAGGCAGGAGTTAGGGCAGGGCCAGACACAGGCCCGCCATCAAGAGTAACCCCGGGACCAGGTCTGATCGGCTGCCAAGGACCTGTGACAGAACCGACACCAAGGACCCGGGGCTGCCAACTGCAGGACCCAGACAGCGAGGGCGCTGGGCTGGGTAGGGGCCAACGGGGGCCCGCCCGGGCCGGGTCGGGACAGGTGGATGGGCGGCCGGACGCCCGTGGAGCCTCCGCGGCCAGCCCGGGAGCCGCGAGGGGAATTTGGGGCGGGGGACCCTGCAGCAAGGTAGAGGGGCTACAAGCAAGGCCGAAGGGAAGCGGAGCGCGGGGCGGGCCTCGCCGCCAGCTGAACCGGCCCCACTATTAACGACTGGAGAGAGGGCGAGGGGGCAGGAAATCGGAGCCGGCTCCTGTGGAAGCGGTGACTCAGCGGCCAGCCGGCGGGCGGGCGGCGGGGAGCGGCCCGAGGGGACGGGGCTGTTCTTTTGACCCCAGAACGGCCCTCCTGGGGTCAAGATGCCGGGAACCACGCAGCCGGGGAGGGAGGGGCACGCGGGCAGTGGGCGCTGCGGCGGGCTGCAGCGCGGCCCGCCTTTAAACAGGAAAAAAGGGGGCGGGGCGGGGGGAGGCGAGCCCACGACTGCAAGCAGGTTGGGCCTGGGAGGCGGCCCAGGCGGGCGGGAGAACAAAGCGCCCGACGCGGGGCTGGCCGCGCCGCCGCAGGAAACGCACAGCCAGGCCAGGGGACCCGGCGCCCGGCCCGCCCGCCGCCCCTGCCCCGGACCCCTAGCTGGCCGGCCGGCCGCGGACGCGGTGAGTGAGTCCGCGGAAAGTGAATCACTAATTAAAACCACTCCTAGGCATCCCGGGGCGAGGTACGGATTACTATTCTGTTGCTCTTTGAGAAGCTCCAGCTGGAATCCTTGCCTTCTAAACTGGGCTTTGAAGCCCGCCAAGCTCTAGCCCGTGACCTGGGAAAAGTGCCCGGACACGGCCAAGCCTCAACTTTTCCATCTATGAAATGGGAATGGTGGAAGCCTGTTCTTCCCCGACCCACCTCACGGGATTATTTTGAAGCATTTTTTTTGCTTAGTGCCTGGCAGAAAGTAGGTGCTCAATTAACAGAGGCTATTGGTACCCTTGTTATTAACAAATAATCAGAGACACTCTCCTGGCTTAGGTCTCTGGCCTGTCATCCTCTCCCTAGGATATGGAGGGGAGGGGGGAAGAGGGAATAAGAATTGCAGGATTCCGGGAGTCAAAGCCATGGCTTAAACAGAAATTGAAGTCATGCTTCCTTCCCCCTCACCCCAACAAGGTGTAATAAATGCAGATCATCACAGATGGCCTTGCCTCAAGGAGAAGCAGCCAGCCTCTTTGGAATCTGGGTCTACCCTCTACCTACCACTCCAACTGGCCAGCAGAAGCCACCCCCTCATTATACAAGTTGGCCAGGGCGTGAGTAGGGTCCCTGCAGAGAGAAGGGAACATGGAGCATGAATCCACTCTAGAGCATCCAAAGGAAGCAAGTGTGTGAACTTCACAAACAAGGACACCCAGGCCAAAAGGGGCAGCAGCATCAAAATGCAGCATCAGTGGAGGTTCAGAATCCCTGGCACGTCGGTCCACCCCACCCATATCCTACCCCCACCCTAGTTTGTTGCATGCGTGTTCCAAAGTAATAAAACCTTCCTGAAATGCTAGAATCACAAGGCCAAAGAGGCTGCTGGGTTCCAGAGGTGTGGCTTTGGGGAGTCATAAACCCCCTGTGATTATTAAAACAACGCTGCAGCCCCAGGCCCTGGCCCACTGGGTCCCTGCTGCCAGACATCAGGTACATTCAGACTGGGAGCCTCAGACCCCTGGGGGGTTCTCCCACTGCCAAGCAAGCCAGAGCTCCACGTCCACCAGGAGAGACCGGGGCCCTACATACTCCCCAAAGTCAAAGCCACAGTCTGGCAGGCTGCAGGTGAGGGGACAGAGAAGTGGGGGTGATGAAGAGATCTCACAATGGGAATCTCTCTCTCACACACATACACATTCATGGGACCTCTTTCCCATTTAGGGCTGATGGGGCCCAGGAGGCACTGCTCCAGCCCCCCTGGGTTGCTGGGGGACCCACCCAAGTCCCAGGCCACCACTTACCTTCCCCACAAGCTTGCCTTTCCGGTTCATACACAGGTAGAACTCCGTCTCCTTGCCCTTGATCCGGACTTGACTACCGAAGGTGTCTGTCTCCACTAGGAGCTGGGCTTCGAAAGGCAGAAGGAGAACAAGACACATTTTTTTACCAGGGGCAGTGGCTGGCCTGAAGACTCAGCAACATGATCCCTGACACTGACCTTGCCCTTGGACCTCCCACTGCCCCCAGAATCAAGTATGGGGGGGTGTTGCTTCTGACAGGTCTCTCTGGAGCATGTGCCTCTCAGGCAGGGAGAAAAGCTCTCTGACACCTGTTCCCAACTCCCGGAGTCTCTGGACTCCACTGGTGACCCAGATCACTCCCGGTGGCTAAAGACCAGTGTGACTTCTGCCCTCATCACCCACATTCCCCTGCCCCTCAAGTCCCTTCCCCAATGCAGGACACACAACCACACAAATAACCCCAAAGAAGCAGCAGTCTCTGGACTGAGGGGTCAGACATTCAGATGCCTATGAGCTCACACAGGCATGCACAATGCGTGCACACACACACACACACACACACACACACACAATACATGCACACGAGTCTTGCCTTGTGGAATGCTAAGCTACTTCCTCCAAAATTTAGGTCAGAAGCCCCTTTCTCCAGGACAAACATCTGGGTGTCCACTCCCTGATGGGGATATGAGAGAGGGAGTGCCCTGGCTGCTTGAAATGGGGAGATGTCTGGAAAGGGTAATTCAAGGCCCCAGGGAAAGGAGGCTGTCAGTATAATATTTCACTTTCCTCAGTCAAGGCCACCAAGACTTGGGGACTTCCCTGGCAGTCCAGTGGTTAACACTCCATGCTTCCAGTGCAGGGGGCCATGGGTTCAATCCCTGGTTGGGGAACTAAGATCCCACATGTCACATGCCACACAGTGTAGATAGGAAAAAAAAAGGCCACCAAGGTTGAAGAATAGCTAACTCCCAGGAGCCTGGAAGTCCCAATCAGAACCCAGTACCCTCTGGTCTGGAATGGGAGACTTCATGTTAAACCCCCATACTCCACAAAAACATGGGGTGTCCCAGGTGATCCTGGATGGGGCAGCCAGAGCTGATCCCCCAAAGCCTGACTAAACAAGAACATCTAGTAGCCGAAGGGTGGCTGTCTCTTGATTAGGCGTACTGTAAGACTGCTCCCTGTCGCTCAGCCACTTCACATTTTCCCCCCAGGAGGATGCTGTGTGACTTCGGCAGGTCACATGCCCTCTCTGAACCTGAATCCCAGTGCCTGGATTTCCCCGCCACCTCCATCCCCCTTCTTTGCCTCTGACCCCCCATTCTCACCCTCCCTTTCCTGACCCTTTGCTTCCCAACACCTGCCCCTCCCTCACCCACAAAATTTTAATTTCAGTGACAAGGGACTTGCTTCTCCATAACAAAATCATAGTCCTAAATACAGTATCCTTGGAGCCACAAACAGTGTACCTCAGTGCCCCTAAAATACAAGAGGTATGATTTTAATAAAAAAATTTTTAAATATACACCCTGGTGCCCTGCTGTGAAAATTAAAACCATCTGGAACTCAGGATTTCCAATAATTAATCTAGCCCTCCTTTGACACCACTACTAATTAAAATGTGATACCCACCTTTCCAAGGAAAAAAAGAAGAATTTACATAAAATTTAAAGATCTAACAAGAATTTAGTAATTCTAGGAACAAAGGTGGGGGCGCATTCTTCTCTCTACCTTCCCCCATCCCTAGTAAACACTGAGTTGAGAATATTAGCGAACACTGAGATTGGGGGTTATAAGCCCTTCATGCTCCCTGCTCCCCTAAATCCAAACTCCCTGTAACTCTCTTGTTAGCTTAGTCCCTGGGAACCAAGGGTCAAACATCACAGCACTTCTGAGACTAGCTTTCAGCATCCGCTCACAAACTCAGGCCCCACATGGGATGGGGGTTGTTAGGGGTCAGGGGAGTCCCCAATCCCCAGGAGCTTCTGACAAAGGCAGCCTGTGCAAGAGGAAAGGTGAGAGCTTTGAAATGCACATGTATGCATACGACTCCCTAGCTCCACTTGCCAGTGTATGACCCTGGGCCTCAGGTTCTTCATCTGTAAAACGGGGGTGGTCATCCCTCATCTTTAACACCCAATGTGAGGATTATATAAAATGATGCTGTTCGCGGAGGCTAGGTAGGGGAAACTCAGTAACTGTTCCTTAAGTTTCCTAATAACTGCAAAATAAACCCATTTACCCAGAAAAAACAAAAAGTAGTGGAAAAGAAATCTGGTGTGTATAAAAAGGCAGAGGGGAAGCAGAACTTGCCTCTCCAAGGCAGGCCTTCTGTCCTGAACTTTCTCAGCATCCTCCAGGGTCAGAAGATGCCTTAGGCAGGGATTTACAGAGCCTTGCCATCCTGGGGGGGTGACCTAGAGTAAGCCACACACCCCATCTGAGCCCCTAGTTTCCTTCCCTATGCAATGGGAGTGGGGCCTGGCTGTTCTGATTGTCTCTGGGACTGGAGAGAGGTAGGGATGGGAAATCATAAAGAGTGGGTGAGGCCACAGGGCTGAGGCCAGGCAGCCCCAAGCACATCTGAGAGGAAGACTGCTCTGCCCTCTCCCGGCACCAGCCTGGGCCCCTGTCTTCAGAGCAGGTCCTACTGCACGCTGGATCTGACGCCCCTGTGAGCCTGCCAAAGTCACACATCCCAGCGAGGTTAGGTGCCTTTGTCCCCCTTTTACAGTGTAGGAGACTGAGGTTCTGAGAAGCAAGCCTTCCCAGGTGGGGAGGGGGGTGGGGGGGGAGTTGACATCCAGTCTGGCTGGCTCTCTTCCTGTTGGGGCCTGGGTCCCAGAGGAGGGCCCCCAGCCCCAGGGAGACTTGGCTCAAAACACAGCCCCCGCCTCTCATTAACCACAGCCCATCTGAGGAAGCCCTGGCCTCTGCCTGAGCCGTCCAGGGGCCTGGGGCTGGGGCTGGACGGCACCCCACCCCCGCCAGCCCAGCCGCCCCCACCCCAGCATGGGGATGGTCTGCACCGGCCACTGCACCCTGGGGAGCCAGAAGTCTGTTCTTCCCCGACCGCAGCAAGCCACGGAGTGACCTAGACTCCACTCAGCACATGACATAATGAGGAGGGAGCCGGGCCAAGATTATGTAAAGTCTTTGGGGAGTAATAGCAGCAGCAGTTCTCAGAAAAAGAGAAAGAGAGACTCCACCCACCCAGACCAGGTTTGCCCCAGAGCCTGCCTGGTCCTCAGCATCACGCTTCCCTGTCTCATGACCTAAGACCTAAGCCCCCAAGACGCACCTCTCAGGAGCCAGAAACCTCATCTCCACTCGGTTTGATTCTCAGGCCTGTCCCAGGCCAGGCAGGAGCGATCAATGGTATCATCTTGCTGCTCACCACCCTGGCATCCCCTCCTCCACTCTGCTACTCTTGCCCCCAGCAGTCTCTCCTCTGCAGATCAGCCAGAAGGATCCTTACAAAATGTAACATGAATTGTGCCTCTCCCCTGCTAGAGCCTCAAATGGATCTCCATGCTTGCACGCTCAGTTGCTCAGTCATGTCTGACTCTTTGCAGCCCTGGGGACTGCAGCCCACCAGGCTCCTCTCTCCATGGGATTTCCCAGGCAAGAATACTAGAATGGATTGCCATTTCCTGCTCCAGGGGATCTTCCTGACCCAGGGATCAAACCCGAGTCTCTTGCGTTGGCAGGCAGATTCTTCACCACTGTGCCACCTCACTAACAATCCAGACCCTTCAAGGGGACCCCTAAGAGGTACACAGTCTGGCCCCTGCTGCCCGCCCCTGTCTCCCGCCCTCACTCACAGCCCTCCAGCCACACAATCCTCCTTGCTTTTCCTGCCCTGACTCACCCGGTACACTCCCGCCTCAGGGCCTTCACACTCTTCCTCCGCCTATCGATTGCTTTGCCCAGAGTTTCCCACAGTGGCTCCTCATCTCCTAGACTGACATCTCAACTCAGATGTCACCTCCTCAGAGAGGAGGCTACAGTCCATGGGGTCACAAAAAGCCAGACATGACTGAGCGACTAACACTCTCACATACTATTCATACTTACCTCATCAAGCCCGTTATATACTCACTAAAATTTACTTATTGGTCATTTACCATAAGCCAAGTGTGGGCTAGGTGCCGGAAACCACAGTGGTGGATGAGACAGTTAGGGGCCTGCCCTCATGAAGCTTACCTTCCGGTGGGTAGAGACAGACGAGGAAAAGGCAGCAAATAAGAGAAGACAATATGGAGGAGAGCTCGGAGGAGAAGGGAGCGGGGATGGCGGGAGCTGGGCTGGGGGGCAGTGTGACCAGGGAAGGAGGCGACATCTCGGACCCCGTGCCTCTGGGCCTCAGGGAAGCCCCAAGTATGCATAATGCCACTTAAAAGTTAAAGCAATCAAGATGCAGGGAGGTAAAGGACTTGCTCAAGGGCATGTAGCTGGCAAGAGCAGAGGAGAAGTGCAAATTCAGTGTCTGATCCCACGATCAACGCCTTTAGCAACTCTGCTCCCCACCAGTGTTACTCCTGCCTCTCACTAAAGCTCTGAGCTCCCCCAGTCACCCACTCCCAGCCTCAGAGTTACTATCAGATATTCTGACAATGGGAGAAAGTCCTATCCCTCTCTGGGCCAGGACTAGATGACTTCCTTTCAGTACTGCCCCTCTGGGAAGCATCAGTAACATATTTATTGAGAGCCTATCATATGCTGGTCACCGTTCTACACTACACACGTTATCTCAATCCTTACGACAATCCCAGGAGATTAGAACTATTTTTTTTATTACCCCATTTTACAGGTGAGAAAATAGAGCCCCAAGGTCACACAGTGGTGGAGTTAAAACCCAGGCAGGCTAACCTAGAAGTCTGGGTCTTAGCCTGTCTCCACTTTAGGTCTTTTCCTCCATGCTAGTCCCTTTCCCTTTCTGGGGAGGTTAGTGAATGAACAGGGAGGGTCTCTGCCTTCACTTCACCTTCCTGAGGAAGAAGTCTGTGGGTCAAGAGGTCCAAAGAGCCAACGGTTGGGGCCCATCTCTCCCCAGCTCCATTTCCAAACGACCTTGAGGCAGGGAAGGGTACTAGCAGTCACCCTG